GTGGGGATGTGTGCTCATTATCATGTTATGTTGAAGAAATAAAATTCTTTTCAGCTTACACATGATTTGAAAAACCTACAAGGTGAACCAGTAAGACAGTCAGGGACCATGGCCATTCTCAACACAAACACTGAAAAACAAAACAAAGCTATGTAGTGTACACAAACAGCTCAAAAAAATGAAACCAAACACCACAAATGAAACAAAATTAGAACAAAGGTCTGTCATATACAGGGTTTGGGAAACAGTAAAGACAGAATGGAGCATCATGGTGTGTGGAGGGTGTGAGATGGAGTAGCATTACAATTAGAAGTGCTGGGAGGCCAATGACATACGAGAAGTCCTCCAGCAGGTGAAAAGGATTAAATGTAAATGCAGAGTGATAGAGAAAGAGGGATAATGGTGTGTATGATCATTTTTATCACAGCCAAAGGCAATTAACTGTCAGAATGGAAATGGTGGGAGGATGAGAGGAATCTGAACTGGATGTTGCACGATGTGCTGTGTTTGAAGTCATGGCCTTCTTCACAATCCACAAAATTCAAGAACTCATTTTTATACTTTTATACTATTCCCTACTCAATATTCTTACTAGTCAGAAGAATATGCAAGTCACTTTGACCATGAATACAATCTGCTAGTTAGGAACCTTTGTTAACAACAGTAACGAAATTCTGACCCCCCCCCAAAAAAAAAACATAACATCCAGAATATCTAAGTAGACTGACAAAATGAACCCAATCCTAAGGAACCCCGTCTCAAAACCTAAAGGATGCAAAAAAATAAAAAAATAAAATAATGCAGTGATACCAGTGCAATGGCTGACATCACCATTCCCACCAGGTGTCAACATCCCATCGATTAACAGCTACAGGTGCCTCTCAATTAGTTAGAATATCATCAAAAATTTAATTCTGTTCAGTAATCCACATTGAAAAGTGAAACGCCTGCATTATACTGATTTATTACACACAGCGATACATTTCAAATACTTATGTCTTTTCATTTTGATGACAATGGCTTACAGCTAATGAACTCAAGTTCAGTTCCTCAGAAAATCTGAATATCACATAAAACCAATAATAAGGATTTTAGCACAGAAATGTTGGCATACAGAATAGTATGTCTGTGCACTGTACAGTGTATGCATGAAGTGCTTGGCCAGACCTGAATACTGCATCTACACAATGTAGATGCAGTACGGAGGCAAATAACTTGTGGTACTGCTGAGGCATTAGGAAATCCCAAGTTGCTTTGACAGCAGTGTTAAACATTGTTGCGTCTAGTGTCTCTCATCTTTCTCTCGACAATCCTTGATAGATTCACCATGTGGTTTAGGTCAGGCAAGTCTGCTGGTTAATCAAGCACAGTGGCGCCACAGTCACTGAAGAAAGTAATAGCCAAGGGGCCACATCATCTCTATAAAACTTGTCAGACGATAACCTAGTATTATTAGTAAAGCACTTGGTAAAACACAATAGGTCAAGACCAATAGATGACATAGCTCAACAGACTGCAGAACGTTTATACAGGACCTCAAGGATCTTGACTCGATGATGCATTTCTCCATTCTTCTTTGCCTCCAGACTTTAGGACCTGGATTTCCAAATAAAATGCGAACTTTGCCTTAATTGGAAAAGAAGACCTTTAATGAGAGTCTAACAACAGTCAAGTTTCTGTTTCATATTAGACACTTCTGCACGTGTCACAGCTGCAGTCCATGTCTTGAGGACTTCTTTATGTGGTGGCATTTAAATCACCAGTAACAGTCCATGCCAATTTTTTGATGGGTTTGCTTTACAGTCTTCTCAAGGCTGCAACTATCCCTATTGTTAGTACACATTTTCTAAAACATGTCATTTCCTTCCACATAACATAACTTTAAATTATTAAGCTTGAGAGTTAAGGTCTTGAATAATATTCCCTTAATGGCCTACACTCTTTGTGGAGGGCATCAATGACAACTGAACAACGGTCAAGTCAGGAGTCCTACCAATAATTTTGCTGGATAAAATAAAAGTAGGTAAATCTAAAAAAAAAAAAATTGCTTCACTTGGTGTAACTTAAAATTATCAAAATAAATTGAACAAGTACACAATATAATGAATCAGAATAATATACGAGTTTCATTTTTTTAATTGAATTACTGAAATGAACTTTTTTATGATATTCTACCTCATTGAAATGGAAATGTATTTTGATAGTTACACATTAAGAAGCAGTGGATTTTTATGTCATGATTAATCAGTGTACAGTAAGGATGAATAATCCATCCATCTATACTCCCTTATCTGTGCAGGCATGTGGAGGGTTGTCTATCTCCAGTGGTCATTGGGCAAGAGGTGGGGTAACTCTGAAACCAAACCATTTCTGCAGACACTTAACTACAACTCTAAGAAACAAGCTGAAAATATATATTTCCACATGCACAACATTACATGGAAATTTAAGTATGACATCAACACTTTTCTGAGTTTTCAACAAGAAGGGGCAAAAAATACATATTCACATAATGCAAATTTTTTTTCTCCAGCAAACGCAAACCTCTCATAGAGGAAAAATAGATATCCCACCATTTATTTGACAGTTACGTAAAATGACCTTTGACAATGTAAGGATTTTTGCCTTTTGCTTCAGGGGAACAGGGGAAGGTAAATAAGTTTAACTAACACTTATATTTAAGTCCTGTTCAAATACTTCTTAAAAATGCATCCCCAAATCTTTGAAGTCATCACTTTGCGTACCATGAAGGTGGCAATGATAAGGGAAAAAACTGTATTTTCTGTTTTTATCAAGTGTGTATTGTGATGTCTGCAAAGGGTAGTGGATAGAGGGATGTATTGTGTGACATTTGAACAAAGACTTAGGAAAACGCAGGAAGGGTAGATACTAGCGGGTCATAGGTTAGAAATAAAACATAGCAGTGTGTAAGTAAGTACATGCCTGGAATCATGTTACATTGTTTGCACTAGTAGTTGTCTTACTTTAAATACACATTTGTATGTGAGTAATCTATACTCACAGAAAAGTTTTACGACACTAGCTTATTGACTACTACAACATTTTATAAAAAGGTCAAAGATTGTGACTTTGACAAACTACTGCCTTTGACACTACTTATTTCTAAAACAAAAAATTCATAATCATCACACCTGTGTTGTAAAACTTTTATGCAAACAAGGTAACAATGTTTTAAGGGAAACAGGTAAAGAGAGTTGCGAAAAAGGTTTCTAGATGTTATTGTGCTTAGATTATAGGGTAATTGTGTAAAGTATATAAAAAAATATATTTGGTTTACCCTAGAGTCTATAACTTTAAGGTCTAGTTTCTTCGGTGTCCCCACATCTGCAGAAATATAGAGGATTTTACATTACACTTTTAGGTATGTAGTAAAAGAAACACCCACAGAAAACAGACTAAACCATCACTGTGTCTCAGATGTCACAGATAACCTTCTATCAGCTTTGTGAACCATATGTTCTGTGCCACTGTATGAAGCTAAAACCAACTATATGGCACAAGGACAGGAATATGCTTGAGACTTCTAATCTGGAAATGCACAAAAAAAATCTGTTGATGATCAGAGTTATACGATTTTCAGCTTGATTGGCTTAGAAAATAACAGTCCTATACAAAATCTAAAATCAAATCTATTTTCTATTAGTGAAAGAGCCACACTAAGAACTACTGTGTTGCACTGACAACATTACTTTTTGGTTTAGACACAATTACTGAGTGCGTTTTGGTATCAGTGAAATATACAGTAAGGCCTTAGACTATAATTGCTCAAAGTATCCAGTCATCTGCCTGCAAAAACTCAAGTTCATGAGTGAAATGTCATTCCTAATTCTCCAGAAAAGCTTTTTACAAGGTTAAGTTGTGCTTAAGGGAATTTTTGACAATTCTACCAGACGTGCACCTGTGAGGTCAGGCGATGTTGGCCAAGATGTAGTGTCACTTCTAGTTCATCCCAAACATTTTCTATGGGATAGAAGTCAAGACTGTATAGCCAGTGAAATATTTTACCCAAATTTGTCAGTCACTTTATGAACCATGCTTTGAATACCAGTGCACAGTGATGTTGGAACAGGAAGGGGCCATCTCCAAAATGTTCACGTAGTATAAAGAGCATGAAACTGTCACACAGTGCTTTGATATGTTTAATTATTAATAGCTCATTTCTCTTTAACTAAATGGTAGATATTAACCTCTAAAAAAATAGACCCACACCATATTTTCCTCTGCGCCAAACTTTGCACTTGACACATCGAATCCTGATCCAATGCTTTCTAATTGCATTTGGGTATTGTAATGCTCAGTAGCAGTAGCGTGGATGCTAACCATGACAATTATTCAAATAGCGTGCTATAGAAACAGGTCCAATCTTTTTATTGTTGTTGTAGAATAAATAAACAATTCCACAATGACTGCTCTCTCATCCTTATAATAAATTTACTCCCAGTATAAAAAATGACTGGCTGCTTACACAAAAAAGCCTATAAAATATTTTGAATGTGTTTCTATTACCCTCTAAGTTTTGGTTCTTATAAAGGAACAAAAATCTACTAAAAACTGTATCAGCAGGTCAAAGCTTCACAAAAGTGGAGGTTGTAAATTCTCCACTAAATTTTTAACAGAAGATCTCTACATGCCACTAATTTTCACAACAATGCATGAGACATCTAATCTTTATAACCATCAACAATAGACTGCTAATAGATTTACATGAGGTGAGTGTAGCAAGCCCAAACAAACAGCAGGAATCGACACTAGAGAGTCATGTATTCAAGGAGTAACAAAGGTGCTGACAAATGAGTAAACACTCATATAATGGTGGTTAAATTAATCTATCAATCTCCTTTGATATGCATTTTGTCCTGCTGGAACTAGGCACTCTGCACTGATAAGTACAGCATGAATAAACTCTAACAGTATAATTTTTGCTGCAATTCTCTGTCTTTAGTCACTCAGTGGTAAAGACATTCTTTATATCCTCTTACCTTGCACCTGCCACAGGTGACTTTCTCCCAGGGTCAAGAGAGGCTCCCAGCGGCTCCTCACCCAATGACCTAGTGTCTTTACTTAAATGCTGTAGACGTGAACTGAGCTCTCCCATAACTGATGGTTTTGTGCTCTCATCTGCACCTAGTCCGAGTCCTAGCCCACCAAGATTGCCCAAACTCCCAATCCCTAGCCCTACCCCGGGTCCTCGAGGTTCTACCAGATCCCCCCACAACTTGGACCTCCGTTGGAAGAGATAGCGTGGCTTGGTCGGAGCTAGACCAGTAACTGAGGCGGAACCACCTGCAGGAAGCCCAGCTCCACCAGCTGCTGCAGCAGCCAGTGCAGCAGCCTGTTGCTGGGACAGCAGCTCACTATCAGAGCTCTGCTTCAGCAAAGGGTCCCTGAAGGTGACGGGGCCTTTACTGCCTCCTATCTGGGATTTGAGTCGAGGCTTAGGAGGCACTGGCGGCTTGTCAAGAACAAAAGTCTGCCCATCAGCATAGGAGGTGTGCGTGGTGTGTGTGTCAGCAGGCTCGCCACTTTCTGAGGACAACGTAGACATGCTGGAAACTGTAGAGACGGTGCTGGTGGTCTCAAGATGGTGGTCTCTCTCTCTGTCACTGGAGCTGCGCGTGTCAGCCTCCTCCACACCTGAGTCAGCTGCAGAACCAGCCTCGCCCACTGGTGGGGGCTCCAGAGGGTCAGAAGTTTTCCCTGAGACAGCTGCTGCACTGGGTGGAGGTGGTGGCTGAGGAGGCTGAGGCTGGGTGGTTGTCACAGTTGGGGTTGTTGGGGTTAAGGGAGTTTGGGGTGTTGGTGTGGCTGGTGTAGCAGGAGACAGAGCAGCTTTAGTGGATGACACTGGTATCCCCTGTGCCTGGGCCAGCAACCCATTTGCAAACTCATCTGGTGGAGGAACCACCCCAATCTTACGTAGCTCCTCTCTTGTTTCCTCATCGCTGGAAGATAACATAGCCGGTGGTAAGGTGACTGTGTAGGCATCCACATCCTCTTCTGAGCTTCCCTGAGCCAGGCTCTTCTCTTGGGTGGGACTGGCAGGACGCTGAGTTTGAGGCTGAACCTGGAGTTGAGTTTGGGGCTGGGGAGCTGTGGGAATGGGGGATTTAGCCCATGGACTCTGTGATTTGCTGGGCTCTATGGTTGCAGGCACAGGTTTCTGTTCTATCCCTGACCCCACCCCAACAGCCTGACCGTTGCTGGTCGCATGAACCATGATCAGCCCAGCTGTCTTCTGCTGTGATGTATCCATAATGCTGATCAACATGCTTTTTTTATCCTCTAGTCTCTTTTCCTCCTTCCTCTCCTCAATTCTAGCTTCCATCTCTTGACGGAATGATATAGGTGATGATGATGAAGACCACTGTGGTTTGATGGGTTGAGGAGCCAAAATATTAGCCGGGGAGGATGATGTGCCATACCCCGCTGCCTTGGCGCTTTTAGGTGAAAAAGGGGGCGATGCAGTTACTCCATCCCCGTGTGGAGACTCTTTGGTCTGAGTGTCAGAGAACATTACAACCTGGCCTACTCGCTCTTGTTTAGTCCGAGGCTCTGGGCTGCCTGTTGGGGACTGACTCTGAGAGGTCAGTGCTCTCTCCCTTGCGGCCAGCGCAAGAGCTAATGGTGAATTTGGGTCCAGAGGCTTTCCTGTGAGTGGATGGATAAAGGTGGTCCCACTAGGTGAGGGGCTCAGAGCCAAGGCAGGGGGAGGAAGCTGTCCAAGCTCTCGAGTTAACAGCCGTTCATCGATGGAGTGAGACTGAGTCAAAGAGGGGGAGTCAGGGCTTGTTGTAGGCGACCCTTCCATGGTCCCAACAGAAAGGAAGACAGTGGATTTCCTCCGCTCTTCAAGGCGACGTTCACGATCTTTTACTGCTCCAGCAATAGCAGCAGCAAACGGGCCTTTACCCTGAAACATCATCTCTCCTTGGGCTCGCAATCGCTCTCGTTCAGCCATGAGCTGCTGCTGGTAGTAGTCGACACGGCTGGTGTGCGTGTGCCCATGTGGGTGTCGTCCTGAGGGTGAGCTCTCTCGTGAGTGGGCAGCAGCTAAGGCTAGACTAGCCTTTTCTTGTGCATCTTCTACCTACCATTGGAGAAATGAAAAGGAAGATTTAAGCTCAGAAATCATTTGGCATTTTTTTAAGAATAAAAATGAAACTGTTATTAAGACACAACCTACCTGTAGCTGTTTCACCAAAGGACTTTTCTTTCTTTGGGGCTTTGTGGGTGTGAACAGTCCAATGCTGAACTGACCCACATTTGCGTAAGGGTTGTCAATTACCCTCCCCTTTCTTTTGATTCGCTCTGGTGGAGTAGCAGCAGAGGGACGGGGAATTTCTGTAGGCTCTACAGGTAGGTGGGAGGAGTCCTGTAGGATGATCATTGAGCGAGCTTTCTTCTGTCTCTCGATGTGTGTGGCTTGCCGCTGAGCGGCTTCGTAAGGCAGGTCCAAGGAGGATGGCTTGAAGCTGGAACGGCCTCCAGGCTCATGGCCTTGACTTTGGGTCCGAGACGTGGGAGGAGGAGGGCAAAAAGCTGGAGGAGGACCCGTGTCTAAGTAGTAAGGAGGTGGAGGAGGTGCCGTCTGAGGAGGTGGAGGGATAGGATGGGGTTGTGAGTGGTCTCGGAGGCTGTCTGTCATAGACGAACTACGTGGAAATCTGTGCTCGCCTGCAAGTGCAGACAGTCTATCCTCTTCTGTGGCACCTGTTTACGGAGGGAAAGGGACAGGTTATTTAATTATGTGGCAGGGCTTACTAACAAAGAATAATTTATTTTAAATATACCAGGTTCACAGTTAGTCAATAAAAAAAATGGCTTTCAACTGGAAATCAGCTCAGTTTATGATTCCTTAACAAAACATCTTATATTATTATTATTATAATAATATTGTTAAAGTTGTTTTGAGAGCAAACAATTCCATCTGTATTTATTGCAAAAGCAAAACATCTGCACAAACTAAGCCTTATATTTTCTGGGGTTTCTCTTGTTCATTTTCTACAGAACACTGTGCTAAATCTGCTTTATAGTCACCTACTGTTTGGATGGTAACTACAGATTACAAATATATTACAAGTGTTTGTATTTATTTATTTATTTTACAGATGTTTATTTTACACTCTGATATAATATGCACACCCAAAAATCGTGAGCATTATTAGATAATGTGAAGATTTTTGCACAATTTGTTCACATCTCCTTTTCAATATTTATTAATATATACTTGTCTTTGTGTTGGGAAATTTTGACAATTTTCATTATTGTTATCGTATTGTGTTGAGTAAAAGCATGCTTGCAAATTTTCACACTTTTTACTGCACTTGCTTGGACATCTCGCAGCCCCTTCTGGACTCAATACTGTTTTGAAATCAAAATTAGCTTAGATTATTTATGGTATTACCATATTCTTAGCTTCTTATCAAAACCAGAAGATTTAACGTGTTTGATGTTATTTTGTTTAAAATGGCGATTTTCCATAAAACTCATACAAAAACAAAACAAAGTGTCTTTCAGATTTAATTAAGTACATCAGGAATGATTTTTTTACCAAAAGACTTGGTCCTGGACATGCCTTTAGGGAATGGTATGTGACCTCTCTCGATACCCGGGTGCAGACCTCCATGTAGCGTCATCCCTTGTCTCTCAAACAGTGACTGCAGCACAAAATTCAGAGCTGACAGTGTAATCAAAGCCACTTTAAAGAAAATTCAGTAAAATCTCTATAACCTTTAGCAGAAATAGTCAGTAACTGTGTGGATTACTGCATGCTGTGACCGCCTTGGGTCATTTTTCTTTCTCTCTTTTGCTTCTAAAAGAAAAAAATACTTTTTAAATCAAACTTTTTTTTTGTGCAATATTTTTTTCACAGGAAAGCCCCGACTGAATGACAAAAATAATGTAAAAACAGAATGAGGTTTTGGAGCCTGAACTTGAATCATTAAATCATCGAATTAAGGTACCGTAAACATGCTGTTTGTATGTGAAACATGGTTGTATTAAAACAATTTAAATAAGAGTGGAGTAAAATTCTTCAGCTGTGGTGTTGAAGAGTCATTACCGGTTTTCACAAACTCCTGATGTCAGCCATTGATATTGTGCCAAGACAAAATCTAGTTACAATGTTTAGGGGGCAAACACTTTCTCACACATCGGCAGATTGGATTGGTAAGCTTTTGTCCTTAATAAATGAAATTTTGTATTTACTCGTTTACTCGTTTCATTTTTAAACAGTTTTAAAATTTATTTTCTAATCTGAATCATTAAAGCGTGACAAAAAAAAAAAAGAGAGAAAAAAACAGAAGAACGTTTGTATTTCAGGGAGAATTGGTATGTGGAGCAGCATGGCACAGAGAGCTGTCTGGAAGTGGCTGTGTGTAGGTTCACTCACACTGATCTCTGCTGGTGTTATTCTCCTGCTGGTAGGCCGTTGTTTGACAGTGGCTGCTCTGTAATCTGCCTCCGGGGGCTGAGAATGCAACATAGATTCCTGCGATGCCAACATCTCATCTAGTCTTTCTGTTAAAAAGGAAATGAGCCAGAACTAAATGCTAAGATGTAAGACCATGGAAATGTTCTATCACAATCTCCGACATGGATGTCAATGGGAGACAATGAAAAGACAAAATCCAGAACATAGCTCCATGCCACAGTGTGAAATCTCGATTTGTGTTTTGGGTGAAAAATGATTTGTACGTTTTTTATATTTCTCGTCTCTCGAACCAAGAGAGCCAAAGAAAGTCAGAAAGTCGCGGTTTAGGTGTTCTGTTGTCCGAATCAGTGACATTCTTGCATAAATTATTCCCCTCTTCTGCCACTCCTCACGACTGAAAATAAAAGCAGCAAGCAGGGGAAGCCTATACTGCAATGCACATGCACAACAGCGATAAAAAACTTCAGGGCACAACTGGTATATATATATATTTTACTGTCTGGTGCACCCTTTGCTAATGCTGCCCTGGGCAACTGCTCAAATGGCTCGGATCAAAAACTGCCTCCGGTCCAAATCCGCACTGCTCTAATGACACAGCAGTGATAAGTCATGATTATGACGCTCAGAGAAGTGTCAAATTCTTGCCTCAGACTCACCTCCTCGTCTTCTCCGAGCAGATGCTTGGTGGGAAAAAGATAGCGTCAGCAGAGGAGGGAAAATGACAAGAACAAGGCGACACAAGTGACTATTCTAAAAAAGTTAGGAGACACGCCATATTTTAACGACAGAGTCAAGTAGAAAACATGAAAGAAAAGGAGGAAGAGAGTGTTGAGTTTGTTCGCCAGTTCTTAGGCACTCACCCAGTTCCTCCAGCTCAGCCGTCATGGACTTGGAGCGCAGCGTCAGGGTGGTGCTCGGAGCTCTCTTGGGTGGAGGGGGAGCTGTGGAGACAAGGCATGGAGTTGAGGACGATGTAGCTGTGGATGAGAATCCTTTGGCTTTGCGACTCAGTGCCCTCTTGGCGTCCCCCAGTCGCCCGGCCCATCTGGTTTTCACTGCTTTGATTTGCGTGTAATCGAGGGAGCTGGAGGTCTCGCACTTGTTGGCGCTGCGGCTGAAGCTCAACTTCTTCATGTTTCTCTCTTTGTCTGATGGCTTATTAATTTGTCTTTCTTCGCAACTTTCAGGTTTGTAATCTCTGTGCTGCCAGAATGTCCCTCTGTTAAGGAGCCCATTGGCAGTAAATGAACAAGTCACTCGTCTCTGTGGCATCCCGAGCTGTTCGAATCCTTCCATTAAACACAGAACAACATAATTTGTCTGCTACAATAGTAGGCATAAGTGCAATGTGTGCATAGAGGAGAGGGAGCAACTCATCCATCTTCCCTTTAATATACTGCCTGCCTTGAATTTAGCAGATGTGCAATTGATAGAAACGCATTAACACTTCAGTTTACACTCACATGCCTGCACTCGCACAAAGAAAACTCCTTGAGGGAAGACATAATGACACGAGGGCCAACAGACAAAGAGATGACAGCAAATTTAACGGCTAAGGAAAATGATGCGCTGCAGTCTTTACATTACAAGAGCCCTTGGGAACCTTCCAAGCTCACTACACACACAAACACACAAGGCAACTGGGCTGTTAATTCCCAGGCAAGGCAGTAAATCATATCTGCCAAACAATGGATTCAAAAACCAAACCGCAAAGTTGCAGGCTTCAAAATAAATGCAATTAAATATTGTACATAACTAAACTGGAAAGAGAGCAGACGATTTAGCAGCAACAGCAAAATATCATGCAGTAAGATAGTATCGGTAAAGCCACAGCCCATTAGCAGCCTTTACAGGATAACGTCTAAAAGAAACCAAATTTCTTGTCAATCACTCAGTCAGCTCGCTCTAAGACCAACCAGCTAACACTGAAAGCAGCCCTCTAGAGCCGTAACTCCCTAGATCGCACACAAGCCCCGATGCAGCAGCTGCACATCTACTGTACATACGCCATCCCGGGTACTGTCCACACCAAATATCTTCATTTCCTCAGCAGCCTGCACACTCTGCTACAGAAGCAGGGAGCAGAGCAGATAGAGGAGGATGGAAAAAGAGAGGCTCAGATGGAGAGAGAGTGTTGCAGTTGCTGTAATGTAATGCTTAATTCAAACATGCATTGTAGTCACCATAGCAACGGTGGCAGTAGTGAGGCCACGCATGGTGCAGAGAAATTTGTGTTTGTATTTGTGCTAGGGTGAAGCGCAATAAGGAGAGTTTGTCCAACCGGAGTCGGTGAGTGGTGACAGATGGTGTTCAGCGAAAAGAACAGAGGAAAGGTGAAGTAAACTACGGACAAGACTTTTGTTTTTTACCTAATCTGAAACAATCCATTTGGTCGATCACAAGACATATTTTTCAGCACTTTAATCTCTTTGGTTAAAGGGCAAATGTATCTTAGTGCCACCTATTGAAGCCTGTGGTTAAAACTGTGAAATATAAATAAATCTTAATTGGCATTTTGATTTTCAACACAAATAAGTAATTTCAAAAACAAGACAGTTTTAACAGTAAGATGCGGTTGGCCACAGCTCTCTTAAAAACAGAAATCGAATGCAGTATGCCCTGTTGTATTTTGGAGATGGACTGTTTTCTTGATCCGAAAAGACCTTCATAGCAAAGAATCTTGAACAGATGTTTGACTGCTGTAAACCAGAACATAATGTAAAAGAAAAAAAAATATGTTTGCCCATCTAAGGCACTTCAAACAAAAAGGCCCACAACATTTGACCACTCTCATTCAAAATTGTGGAGTTCATTTAAATAGATTTTAAGAATTAGCTTTTTTTTTTTTTGACCTTAGTCGTCAGTTTAATTTTCCCATTCCTACACTGCGCTGCACCTCCATTGTAACCATCTAAAGCATGTTTGACAGAAGAATTCGGACATAGTCCTTTGTCATTATTCCGCCTACTTTCTGCGATTCCCCCGTTCCTGTGGTAATAAAACAACCCACAGTAAAATAAAAACACCTCCATGCTTCGCAGCTGGCACCGTGTCCTCAGGTTCTACAGCCTCAGTCCAACTCCTACATCATCAGTGAGTTCAAACCTCAGGTCCAACAGACCACAATCCCAAACACACAGAGAAAGAGAACAGACAAATCAGGCTAACATTATGATGTAGAAAATTACCCATAACTTAACTCTAAAGTTTACAAATTTTGCTTAAAGATTTAAACCTGTGTGGATTAGAATATGCCTTCAATAAAATGTGTGCAACTCATTTTTATTTTTTATTCTCTGTAAGTTCATAATTACACCACCCTGAAAAAAGAACAATTTAAATTAATCATTAAAACTATAATAAATATAATATTCGTGCTGATAATTTATATATGTAAACTTTGTACTTTACCTGGTTTAGGTGTAAGAAAGACAAAGAAATATGCAAACTGAGACCACAAATCAGTAATACAATTCAGCATAAAGGGCACTCACCTATCTTAGAGCAAACCCATTAACTTCTGTCTCTAAATTTCAACAATCACTACTATTCTAGCATGCTTTACAATGTAGATAATTGTAAAGTTCGGAGGTTACTGTGACAGGATTGTGTGGGTGCAAAGTAATGGCAAACTGTGGTTGACATGGAAACTACATAAATTTACAACACGGAAATATTCCTGACAACATAGAAACACCAATATGTGTATAAAAGCCAATTACGCATTTCCATCACAACACGTAATGCACTGAGCTTCAGAATAATTGTATGGAGTTGTGTTTAAAAGAACTTTATTTTCATTCACAACAATGTATTGAGAACACAATGGACTCAATATGAAATCATAACATGAAGAAATGTATTAAACTCATTTTTGTTCACCAGAATGTGGAGAAAACAATAAATATTTGGGTGCTAAGAAGTTGAAGTCTGTGCTAAAAATGAACATCTCTTTCAGTGTTTAAGTTTATATTAATCTTTATAACCACTGTTTCAGAAAACTTCATGCCATCTATGCTGCATACCGCCGGACATTTCTGGCACTCGTGTACGAATGGCCACTCCCAAGACCACTTACGATGGTTCTGGGACAAAAATGAAAATTCAGCTCTCTTACTGGTGTGTTTGGGGTCAGAGCTATTTCCTTTCACCATGCTGGGCTTAACCTCTTCAAAGTAATTTGAGGTATTTTAACTTTTGTATGACTGCTATGTGATAAAACAGCATAAACATGAGAATTATCCTTGAACAGCAAAGTACCTAAGTACACTGTGACTTGAATACAGTGTTTAGGGGATGTCTGACAAACTGCAGCTCCTAGATCCAAATAGAATGATCTCGTTTCCACCAGCGGAAAAGTTTTTCTCCATCTTTTTCAGTCCCTGTGTTCTTTAGTAAGTTACAATCTCTTCAGCACATTTCATTTTGTTATACAGAACTAATACCATCCACTCTTTTCCATGTGCCTTATCACATCATATATACTACAGACCTGACTCATAAACTTTAGTTTGGAAACTTAAACGTGAACATTTGAAATGATTTTTTTTTACAGGTGAGTTGACATTAATTACATTATTACTTCCAAATAGCATTACCTTTCTTTCGAACAATTTCTTCCGACTCTGGCTTGCGTGTGACAGAAACAACTTTCATTAGGAGTCGGCTCCCCCCTTGCCGGATTAAAGACACCACCTGCTTGTGGCCCACCTTCACTACATTCACCCCGTTCACCTGGACAAAATGCAAGAAGACAGAAACTAGGTCAATGCTGATGAAATTCTGATCAAATTCTGGTCACCTCACATGAAACATTTGCAAGTCACAAAATAAATAATAGAACTGCATTGTTATTATTATTATTATTATTACTATTATTATTATTATTGTTGTTTATGATATCAATTGATTATTAGAGTGTTACATCTAAACTAACTAAAGACTTCTCTGTAGAATACACATACTAATGAAATCGGTTTACTCCTGTGTTTCAGAAATTACCTCCATCTTCAGTGTTTTGAATGAAGACACACACACACACACACACACACACACACACACACACACACACACACACACACACACATGCACATGTTTGTGTTGCTATCTTTGTGGGGACTTTCCATTGACTTCCATCCATTTCCACAGCCTAAACTTTACCTTTACCCTTTTCCTAACCCTAACCAAAACTCAGTTCATACCTTAGCCCTAAATCTGACCCCTGACCCAAAAACATGGTTTCTCCTCGTGGGGACCAGGCTCCGGTCCCCACGAGGAGCGATTGGTCCCCACAACGTAGTATGTCAGGAAAATCGTCCCCACAAGGTATTACAAACAAACACACACACACACACACACACACACACACACACACACTTTTTCTTAACTACCTCAATGAGAAAGTCCCCCGTCCTGAGACCAGCCCTCCAGGCCACTCCCTCCACGTCCACCGACTCCAAGTACTGCAGGGCAGGGAATGCTGGGGTGGGAGTGAACTCTTCAATAGGAGTTTCGGCTATAAAGAATAAAACAACATTCAGAACTGCAATGTCTGTCTGGAAAGCATGGCAGTTAAAACCATACACCTCAGTGCTTCAGAGATTCGGAAAATAAAACTGCTGCACATTCCAAGCACCAAGCAATTACCAAAAACAACATTTAGGAAAATACTGGCTGGATTGTAATTGTTCCATTGTTTTCTTGTTTTGGGAAACCAAATACTGCTCTACAAAGAAGCAAACGGTTTTAATTACTTTATCTGGTTAAGATGTGTTGAGAGAGTGATACACACAATATACAGAGGAGTCCAAAAACAGCAAATGTGGTTTAAATATCTTTAAAACTTAAAACCTTAGACTCACATCCAGCACATCAATTTCTGTAGCCATAAGCGCTGGATGAGTCTTTTATATTTCTCCTTAGTGACAACTAACTATTTAAGAGGTGGACAATTTATTTAATGCTTAAATCCCTCCCTCTATTCTACGATTCAGTTGAAGGCAACATCCGTCCAGACCGGTCTGTGTCTGGACAGCGGGTGTGAAAAACCTGAGGACAAATTTGGCCTGACACTTTTATTTTCAACAGTTTAACAGTCTCATTCTGTCTCGGGACACACCAAAGGACCAGTCACTGACCTGATGTTACTCCCTACGCTCTTCAAAAAGCTACTTTGAAATCAGACACAGTTAAAATGATTAGACTCTGTGAGGACATATTGTAGAGATATTTTTAAGTGTTCATTAACTTAACAGAATTTTGCTTGAAGGAAAAAAAAAAAGTCACAACCAGAGATAATATATGTGACTTTTGTCTGTACGGTAATCTGCATTAAAACATTTTTAGAGCTCATTATAGGTAACCTGCTGCTATAGCTGTAATGTCCAATGTCATACAAATTTGAGCTTGATAGAAACACAGTGAAAGTATTATTTACAGATATATCTGTGCAATGCAACCCAAATTATTTCCACCTATTTACAGATTTTCTTCTTAAATATTGGAAAGAAAATAAAGCTCGGGCAGCTGACATACCTAAGCGCAATGCCACTTGACACACAAGTGGCAAAGCAGCCAATCATTGTCTTTGGCACTGATTGGGCAAAAGTAAGATAAGGAAGACTCTTAGCTTCTGTGGTTGTGCTAAGACGGTTTATCCACAGATCTTCGTTATTTGTGAGCCTCTGTGGGTCCTAACGTTAACAAGTCTCCCCTGATTGACATATATTTACTAACTAAACTACACAATACTTCATGCACAATAAAGGTTATTGGAGGAGCCTAAAGCCTTCATGTGATTTTACTGCAGTGGAGCTCTTACCAGCTGCTGTCACATTTTTCTTTCCTGCCTTGTATGCTGGCATATTAAAAGAAAGTGTCATGCAGGTCTGAAGAAGAGAAAATGAAAGAAATTTTGTGGAACATCAAGTACCTTCATGCCTTTAAAATGTCTGTCATACTTGATGTAGCCCTTTTCTGAAAAGTGCATTTGGATTGAAATCAAGGTGAGGTGTCCACAGTGTTCTGCTGAATCAGGATAACCTGTTCCTGAGACATCGCCGTCTTGTTTGCGTGACCCGAACCTACTGTGTTTACGTTCCACGTTTTCAATAATGAAACCAGAGAATTATAGTTACAACATTAATACTTTAAGTGAATATGCCTGTTTTGCAAACTGAATCCAACTTATACTCGCTTCAATCCCTGAACAAACATGCAGCTCCGCCTGAAAACCCCCAATCTATATGCAGACGATCTATAGCAATATTTTGAGTGCAGCATAACAAATTCTGTTTAATCTCAAAGCAAGTGTGAGTAAATCACTGACACATGAGAGCTCTCAAAGAACTACTAAGTGAACCGCAGTGTGTGTGTGTCTGAGGGTGCTGGAGAGTAAAAGAACGAGTAAAAAAGAGAGTGGGGCGAGCCAAGATTCATGGTAGAGAGTGACAGAGCAGTAAAGCACACTCAGACTCCCGGCAAGCTGCCGAAGAGAGGCTGCCATGGTAACCACCACGAACGGGGAGCTGGCACGTGTGTGCTCGTAAAAGCGAATTTGCGGTTATGGAGTATGAGTCAAAAGGTGGATTTGGTTAAAAAGCGGGAGGGCTGACAGAATTTAGAGATAATCAGCAGGATGGATGAAGGAAGGGTGCATGGGAAGAAAAAGAAAAGGAAGAGCAAAAATGAGAGGAATACTAGAGATGATGTTTCTCTACTAAAGCCTAACGCCATGTGCGATGAACAGATGGGACAGCGAGCAGACAGCTCGGCCAAGGATGACGCTACCAGAAGGTCTACATGCTCTTTCTCTCTCTCTCTTACACACACAACACACACACACACACCCACCCACACGCGCACGCACGCACACACACACACACACACACACACACACACACACACGCCTGAGTGCATCTGAGTAAATAAGCTGATTGTTGACCAAAGCCGCTTGTGTTGTTGACTAAAACAGTCACAATACTTACTGAGATGAACTCGATGACTCAGATCATCTAACTCCTTATGAGAACAGATCAATGTCACGCATTGAAAAGCACAGGCGCTGTGGACGGGAAGGTTCCAGGTGTCGGCGGGCTTTATAACTCACCTTTGGCTCCACGCAGGACAAAACCAAACCCCTCGTTGTCTTTCTTCTGTAAAACAGCATTCTTCTCTTCCACGATGTAATCACTGTCGAGAAAATAGCACAGGTAGAGCAGGGGTGAGTTCAACACCATCGTCGCACACGCAAACAAAGAGGGTAAAGGGTAGCGGCGTGAAGAGGGTCGACTGGTTGGGGGTTGAGTCGTTGGAGGAGGTGGCGAGGCACACACACACACACGGATGAGCATGCACACACACACACACTTGTACTCTTTCCCAATGAGGTTAAAAGGAAAGCAAAAGATCACAGCTCAGGATTCCCTGGAGTTGCTCTAGTATTTTGAGACGGGAACAGGGAGTGTGGGAGAAAATAAGCAGGTAAAAGGAAACCCCATGACTGAAGAATCTCTCGGATAAACTCTAAGACCTCCAGATGATCCCCCACTGGAGACTTACGCTGAGGAGTGTGTTTAGGGATTTCGTAAGAGAAACTGTCAGATTAAGCTCAGATGCAGCATTGTGCCCCGACTGATCACAGAAGAAACAGGACAGAAAAGTAAGCAAAGCAGTTTATCACCACCTGATTTTTCTGAGTGTTAAGGGATTAGGTGGTCTTACACTGTTGGTCCCCTCACACCTCGGAGAGTAAACCTCTCACGTATGGACTTGTTAAATTCTGAACCAAAAGTTTGCTAAGCACAACAGCTTTGACTGCAAGCAGGGTTATTTTCATAATAAAAAACTGCAGATATTATGGATATTCAACGATAGTCATGTGCCACTTAATTAGGCACACCTCCTCCATTGCTTCAAGCTCAAGCAGCAAATCAGTCAACCAACTCAGAGCCTTCAGGCATCTCAATGTGGTGAAAACAACTTGCTGAAATTCAAACCGTAAATCACAATGGGGAAATAAAAGCGATTTAAGTGACCTGAATGTCACGTGGTTGTTGGTCAGAAATGGCTGATCTGCCATTTTTGATTCACAACCTTCTCTCCGAGTTACAGGGAATGGTCTGAAAAGACGAAAGACTCAGTATGAGGAAAATCCTCACTAAAAATGTAACACATTGACCCTTGACGCAAATGGGCTACAGCAGCAGCAGACTACTCCGGGTGCGGCTCCCGTCTGCAGAGAATAAGGAGCTAAGGCTATATTTTACACTGACTCACCAGCTTTCGACAATAACACATGGAAAAAATGATTTCCTGTTCTGCGTCTCAATTTCAGCCGCAGCGTTCAGACAGTAGGGTCAGAATTTCGTGCAAACAACATGAAAGCATAGATCACTCTTGAAAAGTGTGCACAATTCAGGCTGGTTTGCATTTATGCTTATTGAGATCTCTACTAGAATTAGCAGCATGCTGCATCAGCTATTCCTCCTGGGATAAAAAAAAGACAGATTACATTTACAAAATAAAAATAAAAAATCATATTACAGCTGGTGTAATGTTATGCTCTATATTTTGTTGACACTCTCTGGGTCCTTAGTACGAGTTGAGCATCATTTAAACACTATAATCTACTCGAGAAGCAGCAGTAGCAGTAGTTCCTGTCCATACCCATCTCTTTATGACTACGCTGCTCAAGTCATCTCAATCTGGTTTGAGGAACATGACAATTTTTTTTTTTTTTTGTACTCCAAAATATCGTATCATGAATGCGCAGTCCACAAATGTTGCCATGGACCAAAATCACTTGGGAACCTTGTTTAAGTACGCGCCTAAGAAAGTGGCAGGTGAGTGTACATTTAGGTCATTTCTAATGTTCAACAGTAAAATTTGAAGAAGCACTTAATTTACTTACGCCTAGTGTGCACAAACAGGAGTAATGTATTTTTGTTTGTGTGTTAAACATAATTCGACTAGCACACAAATGTCCTTCCAAGTCTTTGTAATGTTTCGACAGTATCCTTGACAGCTGAGGCAGATATAGAGCAGAGACGTTCAAATTGGACAGCTGAGCTGCAGTTTCATTAGCTCAACCGAATAAACTCCTCTCAGACTCACAGAGCTCCTGCTGCTGGAGTCAGGAGATGGGGAACCAACCTTTCTGCTGGAGTCTGATTTCATAAAATGCCCTCTATCCACTTTATGCTAATTATTGTGCACACAATGCTGTGCTGGAGAGGCAACACTAAGCAGCTTTTTCTTGCTTATAGCTTCACATCCTATATATTCTCACTTGAACTAAGACTGCATTAAAGCAATACAGGATTTTTTTTCTTGCTTATATTTAACTTCTGTAACTGAAACACACATTTAACAGTCAGATTTGAAGAGTCACATGTTTTTCAAAAATGCAAATTAGATACGACTAACTACAACTTACGGTAAGGCAATGCCAAACATACAGTAGGTAATGTAATTGTTTAACATGTGACCATTTTCACAAAATTTATTTTTATTCTATATCTATTACTTCAAATGATATAAAATTCACACCAGATGTTACTAGCAGCCCCATGAGACGCAACATAAGTGTCAGAAATGCAGCAGCAGAGACATTTAAAGTGAGGTTTGATTACAGTAACACGTCCGAAACATTAAAGATCTCACAAAGAACTGTTCAGTCTATCATTAAAAGATGAAAAGAGTACCAACTAACTTCAAAGCAGCCAAAACAATGGCCTTCAATCCAAACTGACAGGTTGGTCAACGATAGAATTAAGTCAGAGAAGAGGCCGATACTCTGGAGGAGCTGCATGAGTTTCACAGTTCAGGTTGGAGAATCTCTGGACAAAATAACCAGAAGCTGAACAAGTATGGCTTTTATGTAGAAATGACAAGAAAAAAAAATACGAAATTTGGTTTAAACTTAGCCACATTCCATGTAAGGGACAAAGCAAATATGTGGGAAAAGGTCCTGATCAGATGAGACCAAAATTTAGCTTATTGATCCTAACATACTATGCACATCACTTTGAAACAGACTGTCCAAATGTCAAAGCATTGTGGCGGCAGCATCATGATGTGGGGATGCTGACCACAATTGATTTAGGAAGCTTAATATAGCCGAGTCATAAAAGACCATCACACCGTGACGTAGACCAGGACATTTACATCATGAAGACGTTCCAAACACATATTCACTGTTGTTCAGTCAGACATTGCTGTGCTGTCGTCTCAGCAACGGAATAGTTTTTGGACGGTGACCTTGACGTTCTCCTCTGTAAAAAGCTTTCACTGTTGTCTTCTTTGACACATCCTGGGATCCTTGTTGACGCCAATGATTATTTTTCTCTCCAAAGTTTTTGAAAAGAAACCCACCTAAGGTGGATGACTACTAATGCATGACACACTGTTCAGATTTTTCTTCCAAAAAACTTTTGAAAATGATTTAAGCTTTCCCTTAAAAACTGTGTGCTGCCTTGTATAAAGAGTAAATTCAGAAGTATGTTTTTAGTACCCTAGCCACACAATTCTACAGCAAAGAGATAATTATTACCACACATTGTAAGACCTTCAAAACTTTTATGCCATTTAATTAATGGAATAAATTAAATTATTATTATTTTACAGATTTTTCAAATATTGGTGAAATCTTCTCTTCTCTTGTGTCAATCTCATTAACCCAATATTATATATTGACTTGTCTCATGAACTGAATACATTAATGTACGCCTTCTAAGAACAAATACAATTTTCATCTTCAAACATTTATGAATCTACTTATAATGATATCTCACATCACATATTGACTTTAAAAGTGTTGTTTAACTTAACAAATATGGTTCACCTGTAACCTGTAATTTAATCTAGCTTTGAAGTAAAATATAAGATGCTGACATTTTTCAAGGTTGGTAGAGTTGGTGGAAATAATGTTCATAGAGAACAACTCTTGCAAAAAAAAAAAAAAAAACTCTTCTCCCTAATAAAAACTCAGAAGAGAGTGCAGTGACACCTACATTACTTTAGATGGCAGCAACCTCACTGCACTTCATCACCTTTTTGCATGGACTTTATTAGCCCAACAGGGAGAAAAGTTCCCTGTGACATGACCATTAAATTTGCTGCAGCATAACATGCATGGCCACACACACACTGAAACAAAGGCAGTACCTGTATGAGGTGAAGTTGTCATAAGATCCCACAGTGTAGTGTCTGAACAGTCTCTTATTGCGGTCCTCCCGGGTCTCTGTGCAGAACAAAAAAGTTTTGTATACATTTGCTCATGTTGTTGTGACAATAAGATCTTGAGAAATTTAAAGTAAAATGCATAAATGTTTTTTTTTTCTATAAATGTGACTGTGTATTTCAAACTAAATGTGAGCATTTAGACTGGTATTAAATCAGAATATTTAATAAAGAAGTAAAATTCAACAATTGAAATCTCAGCTGTCTTAGTTTTTATCAACTGAGGTTAGATCTTCATGTTTTAAAGAAGCTTAGATGATAAAAGCAAAGTCAGTAAACATATTCATTGTTGTAACACTTTTTCAGCCCTCATATAGCAATAAATGTTGCATTTAAAAAAAAATGGATATAAAGATAAAAAAAAAATCCCCAAATATCCTATTTTCATTTCAGCATGTTACTAATATGTCAGCCATAATTTATTTCAACAAACATACAGAGAGAGAAATTAAGCTACCACAGAGAAGTAATTATCATTAGCATTCTTCATCATTCATGCCATAACAGGATGTAATTCTTCCATGGCATTTGTTTTTTTTTGTTTTTGCTTTTGAACTGTAACATAATTGCATATTTAACACAAGATTTTTTTTAATATCCAAGAAACAGAGCTCAGTTTGTGTACAGTGTATGTGTGCAGTTTCAGCCTTTATGGGGATTTGCCCTCCATGCATGCTGATAGAGATCAATGCCCTCTTCTCTTCCCGATAATACAGGCAGCATCTACCCTGAACAGTAATATGCTGACTAAACAGCACACAGCCCTTTGAGCCCACACAGAGGCTGTTAAGAGAGAGGCTGTGAGAGCAGGGTCGTCCTGGTAGGTATGTGAAAGTCACAGCATGTTGCTGTAAATCTGCAAAAAGGACCCGGTCGCATGTCTGGCTTTGCGCTTGTTTCCTTTACACTAAATCAAGATAGAAATAGTTGTGCAACATCTTAATATTGTTGCTATAAACTGGTATATTACTTCAGTCCATAATTAAAGTGTATTATTTAACTAAAGACTATGCTTGTGTCAAATACTGCTATTTGATTAAATAGGATTAATAGCAATTAACTAATTGCAAAACCTCTGATGAATTTCCTAATTGTTTTAATCACATCTCTCCATTAACAAAAAGCAAAGCATTTCTTGAGAAAGTGGAGATAAACAAAAAAGAGGTAAGTAAGAGCTGACAAGAGATTTCTATAAACTAACATTTTACTAGCAGAACCAGGGGGGAGGTATAATGAAGGAGGAGGTGTAATTAGTTGCGAAAGTTACAGATGAGAGATTAATCACTCCGAACTGTCTCACATGTTATAAATCAAGACAGCTGATCATTCAGGTGTGCATGTAATCGAATAAAAGGCTTTGCCTTAAAGGGGGGAGGGGAGAAAAAGGAAATCAGCCAAATGACCGTGCATGTGTGCTGCCTAAAAAAGTGTTGTTTGTGAGCTGAATGCATTCCTGTGTGCGTAGTACATGCGTGTATGTGGAAACTGTGAGATCAGATGCAGTCTAAAAGTGTGAAATGTGGCTCATTCATCAGAAGTGTCATGTATTCTGTACAGCCCAGGAGCATCTAAAAGCAGGGCTGTGATAGCAGCGATAACCTCAACAGCACCGTCATCCATCACACCCACACCCCCAAAATGGAAACAAAAGGACATCACAAAAGGTGTTCACTGTAATTGATGCTAATATATAGACAAGTACATGTGCTGATCTTCCTCACTTTTATCATATAGACTCAAGAGTGAAAAAAACAAGTACGGTCACAGAAATCGTGAAAGGATGTCATATAGGGAGATTCAAAGTCTTATACAGCAGGGACTGTGCTTTTTACTACCTTTACGTTCATTCATTCATTCATTCATTCATTCATTCATTTTGATTGTTGAAAAGCTGAATGACCCCAATGTTGTTAAACATTCAACTTTCAGACTTAAATTTGACTCTGAGAATATTTGCAGACAAGATCATGGACAACTTAATCAATACACAGTGAGGCCCAGATTCTGAGCCTGCAAAAACAAGCCCATATCATCAGCCCTCCACCACCGTGTTTGACAGCTGACATGAAAAGTTCATGAATATGTTTTTCTTTTGCGACTTCTTTTCATACTTGCTCTTGGCCAGGGCCTTGTTAATGACAAATGGTTCTTAATTAATTCACATAAACGGCTGGCTACAAATTATGCATTTAACTTTTTAATGGCTTTTCTAATTATCCTGCTAATTTATTTCCTCTGTGGCATTGAGTAAAATATATCTGAACACTTTAAAGCAGTAAGGTATACAATCATCCACTTGATCCTAATCCCCTTAATGTTGTGTCAAAGGTTACATTTTTGGATAAATATTTGCACTACAACTGGCTGAGAGTGCACACTCATAAATAATTGACCTCAAATTGCACTTTAAAAAAGTCCAGAGAGAACAGCATTTTCATTAAACAACATGAACCAAGAAATTAAGGGTAAAATTGAGCAAAGCAAAAAAGTTTTTCTTTAGCTTGGGATTAGATACAGTAGATATTTTTGATATTGCATAACAATTTGTTTCTAAAAATATTTTTACTGAGTGGCTTGTTGTCCCGACAAAACATCCCAAATCACTGACTGGATTCAAAATTAATAGGAAGTAAATTTGAGTCTGTATGACTGTGTATACATGAGTTCCTGGTGGAACTAATGCATAGTATCTGGTAATCTAAAGTGGGTTGCCTGTTGTGTTTGGTTTGGTGGATTTGTGGTTTGCTTTTAAAACAATCTGGTAACGGAAAGACCATTCAGTAAGGAAATATCGCCCTTTCATTCATCCACCTGTATGAATGAAAAATACCAAACGTTTTTGAAGATTGCATTTCCTCTTCATGAATACAGACAGGTTTCCCCTGCAGCAACATCTACAATGGCAGTGGGTGTTGTGAGTCTAAAACTGAAGCTTGAAAGGCAACAGCATTCATGTTGATGCTTGAACTCGCTTGCAAAAGAGACCATGCTGCTAATGCATAACCGATAACCTTGACTTCAATGCTATACATAGACCTCATTTAGACATGAATCAAAATGAAGCAGGGGTTCCTCTAGTAAGACAAAGAGGAGGGCCACATTTTGTCAAACTACTTCTTCTTCCTACATATACTCCAAAAGACAATGCCTTGTGTGAAAAAAAAAACATAGACCAGAGACAATGGGTTCATAGAGTTAAGTCTTTGTATCATATTAAACCACATTTGCAACGATACAACATCATGCTTTCAGTCAGCATGTTAACAAGCTATCTTTCTGCTGCTCACGCTTCTTTTAGGGCCCACAGTGCTTCTCCATTCAGGACAGATGTTAACTCTCCTACTGTCCTTGTCTGAAGGGCGCGCTCACACACACATACACACAGATAGATGAGAACACAAACCAAACCAGACACACAGTGAAGCCTGCTGAATGAAAATTAACCCCTGGTGGTTTACCCAGATAAAGTTACACACCAACACTCATGTGCATTTGCACAAACACACATTTATCTGGAGAGCCTTATTGACTTTTTGATTCCATGCTTCCACACACTCACACATCCCAACTTCCCCCGTCATGTGCTCCAGCTGACTCTTTGTTCATGCAGTCTGTGTGTTGTCCTCCAAAACCTGGTGGATACAACATACAGCATGCAGAAACCACAGAGTACTAAAAATAGTGTTTTAAAATAACACAGAGAAATTGGTAGAACTTCCACTGAGCCACAGAAGCATTGAGGGGTTAGGGGTAGGCGGCAGGGGGAAGGCCAACTCTGTTTTTCTGTTTGGTTTTTTTTATGCTGTCCCACAGTATGCCGGTTATTTTCAGGGAGCTACTGTGGTGTGCAGGTGGATACAAGGCAACATCACCTCCACTCTTGTTCCCCCTCCGTTTCCACATCACCTAACTGTTGAACACACATGACCAGGGTTAGCATTTTATCATTTCATTTGAAGGTAGCACTTCTGGAATTAAGATGAGTTTGTGGAGCAAACTACGAGAACATCTTAACATTGCATTATCCGTGCCTACAACTGAGGTGTCCGATTGGTGCGCTTTTAAGGAAATTGCAGAATGAAGTGGTAATCACCCCAGTACCTCTCATGACCCTTGAAGTTACTTGGGTCTGCTTCCACAACTGTTACTGCTCCATCAATCCTACTACCCACCAGGGGCAGATCTGCGACCGTGACCAGACAGCAGTCCATTTTTCATCTGTAGTCACCCAGTTTCCTCTAAGACTTTGACAAGGGGTTTATCTCTCTTACCCATGACTTTCCCACCTTCCTGCATGAATCAGTCACAGGGACTGTCTTGCAGTTCATCTTCATCTTTAAACAATTAAAAGCACTCCTGGGAGGTCCATTTTGTGTAGGCAGCTAATAAATATTCCTTAACACCATTTTCTGTAAGAGGTTGTCATTTTTAGTTCTTTTAAAATTGAAATATGACTTCCAAGACAAATAGCACTGAAACTGTGTCAATGTCTGAGACCGCAAAGTCCAATTCTCTTTTAGCCACAAGCCAAAAAACTCCAGCATATATTTCATATCTCTGCTTTTTTCTGCTGCCTTTCCCCTCCTCCTCTCCCTCAGAATCGGTTCGTTTGTGGAAGAGCCTTCGGAGAGCTCGTTGTTGCCATGTAAGTATGAGAGGCAGAGACGAACGCCTATAAATACCTCGGCTCTGTCAAAGAGGAAAAAGCCTTGAATAATTCAGTTACAATCAGACAACAGAGGGAACTACTTTACACGAGCCTCAAACCCTGTGACAACTTATTACAACACACGTGTGAGGCCAAGGTCAAGCTACAGATGCACACCAAAAACTAATTCTGCAACAAGAAAGGAGCAGAACGTGAAGAACACATTTATCCCAAACAGAATCCTCAAAGGCTTTCAAAATCCCAGAAATGCAATGATTCATTTCCTCCAAATGATTTACTTTCTCTAACTGCCTAATCGTCCAATTGTAAATTTAGTAGCAGTATCTAGGTTT